GTTTGAACCCACCAGCTGCTCCACGGGAGAAAGAAGAGGCAGTTGGCTTTCGTAAAGATTTACAGCTTTGGAAACCCTATGGGCAGTTCTACTCTGTGCTGTAGGGTCACTAGGAGTTATTGTAATCAATTGATGGCAGTGGGTTTCGTCCGGTGGATCTCTTTTCTAAGTTAATTTTATTATTCATATGCCAAAGCCATAAGGTTTAGATTTAGGTACTGAAGTATTTTTTTAATTAAAAAATTCCATTATAATAAAAAAAATCTCTGTGTAATAAAACTACTCAGCCCTCTGCCTGGAGTAATAGCTAATATAATAAGGGAACTGAGATTTTTCCATGATGAGTCTGATTTATGGCATTTGACCAGACAGTCTCCCCTTGTGTCCTCAAAAAGGGTAAATAAAGCTTCCAAACAAGAATTACTGGGGTTCTCTGAGTCACAGTGGCTCCTTCAGGGGTATAGGACTTGTCCTTAATGAAATTGTGAGGTTGGTGAGATTTGCATGCAGAGCCTTCCTGCCATCATTACCGTGATGGGGGAGCTGATTTCTAGGCTCAGAAACCTCATTTCCTCAGTATGCTAAGAGTGCATTCATCAGTCAGGGGCCAATGCTTTATTCTGCCATGAGAGCAGTAATGGGGAAATAAACCAGGAAGCCTCCTATAGGCATAATTGGTGTGTTTCATCTGTGTAGGCAGAACCTACATGGGAAACCAAAAGCAAATATCTTGGCAATGAATTAGGAGTTAGTTGTGAAAATGTACTTGGCTAAGAATAGAAGGAGGCTCTACTGGGGGTCTCCTAGCTTTGCTGGTGGGACAGAAACATTCAGTGTCCACATAGCTAAATCGCCCTTTTTTCTCTCAGCTAAGATTTACCTCATAGACATTTCTTTTTCTGTGCTTTCAGGGTTCACCAACTCCCTTTCATTGTGCTTTCTTGCCTGAACCTAAGAGCCATTCTGTCTCTACGAAGTGATTTTTCATAGCTCATTCATTAATTGTTGATTTGCTGGTTTACCTCTCAGAGGGTGTACTTATGCCCTGCCTGGGAGGATATTTCATGCTTACCTTCATGCTCATCTGGTAGCAGGCACGTGAAATGGCAAAACAACCTCTTGGGGTGGTCTAAAGTGGTAATGATGACAAATTTTCCCCTTCATGACCATTAGCACGTATATAAAAGGAAATGCTGTCTCCAACTTGAGTCAGAAACTATTGCAAAACAGGAAGTACTCTCCTTGGAGCTCTGATTAAAAGCAGCTCCATTCTTAATTATTCCAACTCTATCACCTTGGGAAATACTAATTCCTGAAAGAGCCCTTTGATGTCATTATTCTAAATCAGAATAAACAGATTTGTGATTTACGTCTGTATGCTGCCTAGAATTAGGTTTTCTGTGGTTCCACAAAGGTTATCCACTGTTCAGAATAGGAGTGTGGTGCACTAAATACATATTGCAACCCTTAACTTTTATGTGTGTGTGTGTGTGTGTGTATGAGATAGCCCAACCCAAGCAGTCAAACTGTACAGAAAGGTGTTCAGTGAAGTCCCTCTCCTCCTGCGGCAGGCCCCCCTCCTTTACTTCCTCTGCCTAGAAAACCAAACCACTTGTCGTGGATTCGATTCTGGTTTGTGGTGACCTCATGAGTCTCGGAGTAGAACTCTGCCCCATAGGGCTTTCATTAGCTAAGTTTTTCAGTAGATCACCAGGCTTTTTTTCCGAAGAGCCACTGGATGGACTCAAACCTCCAACCTTTCAGTCAGCAGTTGAACATGTTAACCGTTTACAATATGCAGGTACTCCCCTTTCCTTAGAGGTGACCAGAATTACTGGACTCTTAAAGCAATCCTTTTCACCTTGATCTTGATAGTATACTGTATCTTCTTGCAATAGACCTTTGATAATCGTATTGTGCTGCTTTAGGAATTGATTTTAAGCAGTTGATATGTTAGCATGATGTTTAAACATTGAACAATGACAGGAATTGTCTTTTATTCTATACCAGGGTTGCTCAAGAGCTACACTGCTGACTTTTGGGGCAGGATAGTTCTTTGTTGTAGGAGACCATCCTGTATGTTGTAGGGTGTTTCAATGCATCTCTGATCCCTATCCTTTAGATGCCACTAGCATCCCCCTCCCAGGTTATGCCAACCAAAAATGCCTCCAGACATTACCAGCTGTCCCCGAGGAGGGAGGGCTAAATCACCTCTGGTTGAGAATCATTTATCTATGCTGTTTGAGAACTTACCTTTTTTTTTTTTTTTGATTGGGTATACTAATATTTTGTCATTTAAGTGTATTTCTGTGTATTTGCTACAGCAGTGCCTTTTTATTTCCTAACCTTAGAAAATTACTCTAAAACCTCATCGTTCAGAAGACGTGCCCCTGAATGAGAGGATATGTCTGCAAGTGGGGTCCCAGTGTAGCACCAATGAAAGTGAGAAACCTAGCATTTTGGTAGAAAAGTGCATCTTTCCCCCTGAAGGTAACAACAAATTATGCTTTTTATTGTGTGCTTATGTTCATTGTTCATTCGTGTGTTGACTTCTCAAACATTTGTAGTCTAATAAGTGTCAGCCATTGGACTAGATACTGGCAACACAATGATAAATAAGAGTACATCCTGGCTTTCACGGAGCTCACAGACAATGTGAATAACAATTCCTGATAGTTATATAGCACTTCATAATTTGAAAAATCACATACACACACACTGTTCCTGAAAATCAAGCCTTATCAGCTTATCTTGGGAAGTAAGCAAGGCATGTATTATTACCCTGATCCATTTTAAGAGAAAGAAGGGTACTGAAGTGACTTGCTCTAGGTCACAAGTGACAGCACTGAGATTAGAACCTACATCTTCAGAGTCTAGGTCCAGTGCTTTAAAAACAGAACACAGTCTTATTTACTATATAAGGAGCTCTGGTGGTGTAGTGGATAAGGCATTTCGCTAACCAGAAGGTCAGAGATTCAAACCCACTAGCCTCTCAGTGAAAGGAAGATGGGACAATCTACTTCCACAAAGATTTATAGCCTCAGAATCCCAATAGGGGTCTCTATGAGTCGGAATCAACTTGATGGCAGTGAGTTTTGTTTTGGATTTTTTTAATATATTATATATGGAAATTAATTTGATATACAGTACATATTTAGGGAAAGATGTTAAAAAAAGAAAAAGTGGGCATGTGTATCTAGTTTCAGCATAAGACTAGCCCTAGCAAAAGCTGTCAAGCAATAGTGCGGTTGATCTTTGGATCCCTTGCTTGCTTCGTGCCCACAAGAGGAGTAGCACATACTGATTAGGAGCAGGGTGATTTAAGTTTAAATCCCAAGTCTGCCAATTCCTAATTTTGTGACTTTGAGTGGATTAGTTAACCTCTCTGTACTTCAGTTTCTTCTTCTGTAGAATAGAGATGATGGTAGTACCTACCTCCCAGTATAGGCAGTTCCAGGGTTATGAATGAGATTTGCTCCCCACTGTGTCTTTAAGAATTTGTAGGTAAGTTGGACCAGGTGCATGTGGTTCTTTTCTTTTTCTTTTTTTTTTTAAATGTTTATTGTGATTTGTGTGAAAGTTTATAGAGAAAATTCACTTTCTATACAACAGTTCACATATACTTTGTCCCATGACATTGACTACAATTTACCACAATGCAACAGCTCCCTTCCGACTTCCTCCCCATAGTTACCTCTTCCTGTGGCCTTCCCTCCAGCTCATGTGGTTCTTATTTAGTCTTAACTTGAGTGCAAGGGGATCTCTGGTGGCACTGTGGTTAAACCACTGGACTGCGAACCAAAAGATCAATAGTTTGAACCCACCAGTCACTCCACAGGAGAAAGATGAGGTAGTCTGCCTCCGTAAAGATTCACAGCTTTGGAAACCCTATGGGGACAGTTCTACTCTGTCCTGTAGGGTCACTATGAGTTGAAATCAACATGATGGCCATGGGTTTGGTTTGGTTAGTGCAAGAAAAGGCTCAAAGCCTTTTTAATGATTTAAAAGCTGTATGTGCAGCAAGTGAAGGTGATTGTGATGGAGAATTGAGTAAGGATTGGTTCAGTTGTTTCAAAGTTAGGGCAGATTTACATCACATTAAAAGGCAAATAGTTGTCTGTAAGTCAGACTCTTGTAACCCAGGAACTGCCTGTATATATAATGTGCTTAGAACAGTGCATGGTAAAGAGTAAATGCTGCATGCATTATCTGTTAATATTATGTTGCCCCTTGGTCGTCCTTTTCCATCTCCTACCTCCAAACCTTAGCACTGTATGTCCTATGCTCTAGACCATTCTATGTACCCTCTTTCCACTAATCCAAAGTATATGAAGTAATATATGTAAAATTATGCAATTCAGTACTGCTAGAAGGCTGGGAGCATGATTTAAAAACAACTTACCTAGTCTAGTCTCTTTCCTTTAGAAATGAGAAATACTTTCAGAAAACCTAAATTACACTATGACAGTGAAATGGTTGCAGATGGCTCAGCACAGTACCCCTGCAACAATCACTGGGGATAGCAGGTTGACATTTTAAGCAAAGGCATTTAATTTAGAGACATGATGCTTTAACTCATAAGGTTTGATAAAGGGTGGAGATTTCAAGTCATAAAGGTTTCAGAGCTCCTAAAGTCACAACAAAGAGCCCTGGTGGCACAGTGGTTAAGCACTTGGCAGCTAACTGAAAGGTCAACAGTTCAAATCCACCAGCTGCTCCTTAGGAGAAAGGTGTGGTTGTCTGCTTCCATAAAGATTATAGCCTTCTAAAGTCTATAGGGCATTTCTACTCTGTCCTGAAGAGTCACTATGAGTCAGAATCAATTCAGCAATAGGTTAAAGTTGCAATAACAGACAGCAGCCAGGAGTTATGTTTACTCTTTCCCAGAATTGCTTCAAGGTGAATATTTGTTTAATTTCGTTTGTTGTGGTGGTGAAAATACACCAAAACATTTGCCAACACAACCACTTCCACGTTTACAATTCAGTGACATTGATTACATTTTTCATGTGCCACCATTATCGCTGTCCCATTCTAAAATAGTCCACCACCATCAATATAAACCCAGTGCCCTTCCCCCAAAAAAACTCCCCTTTCTCCCCTCTCTCCCACCCCTGGTAACCATCAGTAATCTTTGGGGTCTGTGTATTTGTTTAGAAGAATCCTAAACCCTTGGCCTGGGTTTTCTAGGTGATCCTGACTCTGCTGTGACTGAGCTGCAATGCATTTGGCACAACCTGAGCTACATGAAATGTTCTTGGCTCCCTGGAAATAATACAAGTCCCGACACTAACTACATTCTATACTATTGGTGAGTATGTACAGTAGAAGGACAGATTGTGCTTATGTCAGGAGACTTTGGATCCAACCTTGTTTAAAAAATAATAAAAATAAAAGCTACCTCTTCTGCAAACCCAAGAGAGTGGGCAGTTTGCTTCTGTGGAAAATGCATCTGTTTTTGAGGTCTGTGCTTTTTAAAAAACTTTTTTATTTTGAAATAATCATAGATCCACAGGAAGTGGCAAAAAATGCACGGGGAGGTCCAGTGTTCACCCATTTTCCCCTAATGGTAACATCTTGCACAACTAGAATGCAATATCAAAACCAGGAAATTGGCATTGATACAGTCCACAACCTTATTCATATTTCAGCAATTTTACTTGCATTTGTGTGTGTGTGTGTGTCTATGCGTGTGTTGTTGTTGTTGTTATGTGCTGTCAAGTCAGACCCGACTCATAGCGACCCCTTCTTGGGTTTCTGAGGCAGTATCACTACAGAAGTAGATTGCCCCATGTTCCTGTGGGTTTGAACTGCCAGCCTTCTGGTTAGCAGTAAAGTTCTACGTAATTATCACATTTGGATACAGAACAATTCAGTCACCTTAATGATCCCTCAAGTTGCTCTTTTATAGCCATGCCTCCCTCCTCCGGCACCACCCAACAGTCTCTAACCCCCTGGCAGCCTTTAATATATTCTCTACCTGTATTCTGTTGTCAATTCAAGAATGTTATTGAAATGGAATTATACTGCATAAATTCTTTTGCAATTGGATTTTTCACCAAGCATAATGCCCTTGAGATCCATCCAAGTTGTTGCATGAATCAATAGTTCGTACTTTTTTATTGTTGAGTACTTCTCATTGGGTGGACCACAGTTTACTTAGTCATTCACCTATTGAAGGACATCTTGTTCATTTCCAGTTTGGGGCTATTATGAATAAAACCGCTATGAACAATTGAGTGCAGGTTTTGTGTGAAAATGAGCTTTCATTTCTTTGAGTAAATATTGCTAGGTCACATGGTAATTTTATGCTTAGTTTTATAAGAAACTGCCAGAGTATTTTCTAGAGTGGCTGGACCATTTTGCATTCTTACCAGCAGTGTATGCGTGATTGATGTCTACTTTTTTTTTTCTTTTTTTTAAACATTGTATTGTGCCTTAGGTGAAAGTTTACACAGCAGGTTAGTTTCCCAGTCGGTAATTCACACACATATTTTTCTGTGACGTTGGTTGTGATTCCCACGATGTGTCAACACTCTTCCCGTTTCCACGCTGGGTTCCTGTTTCCGTTCATCTGCTTTCCCTGTCCCTCCCTGCCTTTTCATCTTTGCTTTTGGGCAAATGTTGCTCTTTGGTCTCCTATAGTTGATAGTTCTAAGGAGCACATTCCTCATGGGTGTTATTGTTTATTTTATAGGCCAGTCTGCTATTTGTCTGAAAAGTGACCTCCAGGAGTGGCTTCAATTCCAAGTTAGAAGGGCATCTTAGGGCAGTAGTCTTAGAGGTTTCTCCAGTCTCTATTCAGACTAATAAGTCTGGTCTTTTTTCTGAATTTGATTTTTGTTCTATATTTTTCTCCCATTCTAACTGGGACCTTCTATTGTGTTCCTGGTCAGAGCATTCAGTAGTGGTAGTCGGGTATTATCTAGCTCCTCTGGTCTCAGACTAGAGGAGGCTGTGGTGATTGGTGTCTACTTTTAAAAAAGAAAATTACGTTGTTCCCAGGTTCAAAAGTAGCTTCTCACAAAATAACGTGTATTTTATATATTTGTGACTGTATCTGCAAAATTTGTTTGTTTTCCAAATCTCTGACTATTTCCTTTCCTTTAGATTTTAGAATTATTAGCAACAGAACCAGGAAGAAAGACCAGGTCAATCAATTCAATTCAGTCAAGTATATTTAGCAAATATTGTGGATAAAATACTGAAGGGACAACAAAGATGAGAAACATGTCTCTCTGTTCCAAAATCTTATGGTATAAAGGGAGACTCAGACCCAGACAAAGGTCTTATAATAAAACAAGACATTGTGTGCTAAAGATTGTTACAGATTTATAGACAGATTCTTGGTGGGAAGCTAGGGTGGGGGTTGGGGTGGTGGCAGGGAGCAGGCTTTGATGAAAAGGGGTAGAGTTAAGAGTCTGCATAGATTGGGGAGTTTCTCAAGGGCTGGCCTCTAGGAAAAGCATTCTGAGGAATGGGGGATACAGGCATACCTTGGAGATAGTGCAGGTTTGATTCCAGACCCTTATAATAAAGTGAATACTGCAATAAAGCAGGTCACACAAATATTTTGGCTTCCCGAAAACAAAACCAAACTCACTGCCATTGAGTCGATTCTAACTCATAGTGACCCCCTTTAGGTTTCTGAGGCTGCAAGTCTTTATGGAAGTAGATTGCCCCATCTTCCTTCCACAGAGCAGCTGGTGAGTTTGAACCGCCAACCTTCTGTTTAGTACTCAGATGCCTTAGTCATCTCACCACCAGAGCTCCTTTTCGGCTTCCCAGTGCATATAAAAGTTATGTTTATACTATACTGTAATCTAGTAAGTGAGCAATGGCATTATGAAAAAGTTTGAAATATTGTAAACATTACCAAGATGTGACAGAGAGACACCAAGTGAGAACATGCTGTTGGAAAAATGGTGCCCACAGACTTGCTCCATGCAGGGTTACTGCAAATTTTCAATTTGTTAAAAACACAGTATCTATGAAGTGCCATAAAACGAGCGATGTCCGTATTTACTCAGTGTGATACCAGGTTGGGGAAGAAGAGATTTAGTGTTGGTAGTTTGTCCTCCACGCGGCTTTGCCCCCTATGCTATCGTTTGTTCAGATTGCCTATGAGAGAATGGACTAATACTGCTTCTCAAACTGAGGTGTGGAGTGCTATGTCCAGGACTTCTAAAGCTACACGGATAAACTTGGCCCTTCTTCCTGGAGTGCCCATTTTGTCTGATGACTTGATGGATGATTTTTTTTTTTTTTTTTGCATATTTAAACACACATGGCTATATCCTGGAATAGAATGTAAAAATCACATGAAATGTTGAACTAAAACCTCCAGAGTTGCTCCAGGGCTTAGCACTCACTCTCCTCTCTTGTAGAAGAGTTGCTGCTGTGTGCCCTGGAGTTGATTTCGACTCCTAGCAACCTTATAGGACATAATAGAACTGCTCCTAGGCCATGATCTTTATGGTTGCAGATTGCCAGGTACTCCAGATGAAGCACTGAGAACATGAAGTTCAGTTAGGGGGGTTTTTTCCCCTGATGTGAATAATTCTCATTTGAGATTTTGTATTTTTGTTTGCCCACCCACAGTACCTGTTGTTTGTCCTTTACTTAAAACCCTGTAGTGACTTCCTGGTGAGTTTGGGATAAAGTCCAAACTCATCAGCCGGATAAGCCAAAGCCTTTTATGATCTGACTCCTGTCAACCTCTCTAGCCTCAGTTCTCATCTCCTTCCGTGTACGTGCTTGGATCCTCTCTTCCACCCCACACCTGAACTTCTTTCAGTTCCTCAAACTCACTCTTCAGACACTCTTTAAACAGAATGGTGGGAGCATTCTGCATCTTCCTGAAGCCCATGCGCTGCCCTTTCACTTAGCTACCTCTTATCTGCCCTTTGTATCTCAGCTAAGACAGAAAGCTTTCTTTCCTTGCCTTCTCAGGTCTAGCTACGTGCTCCTTCATCCTGTCCCACAGCACTATGCACTTCCCTGTGTCACAGCACTTAGTACAATGTGTTGTCATTTCCTGTTTACTTGTAGTAGCCCTCAGCAGACTGTGGCTGGAGGAGAGGATGCAAGTGGACACATGAAGGGAGATGAGAACAGCAGCTAGAGAGGTTGGCAGGAGCCAGTTCATAAATGGCTTTGGCTTATCATGTGAATGAGTTATCTCTTGAGAACAGGGGCTGTGTCTTATTTGACTTCAGTGTCTCACAGATGATGCTGTTGTTGTTGTTGTTGTTGTTATTTGCCGTCGAGTCAGCCCCGACTCATAGCGACCCCTCCTTGGGTTTCCGAGGCA